GTAAAGAGTGGGGAGGAAGAGGCCAGTGGGTGATGCAGTGGTTAAGGCTCTGGACTCTATCGTCATTTGAAACTCAGACTCAGTGACTTGGAACTCACACCGGGTGTGCGTGCATACATGCCCCAAACCCCACGACGAGAATGGAGGAGAAGGGATAGAAGCATGGCCATCCCCCGGGGGGTGATTTCTCACTTTCTCTCACTTCATTTTTCTGTGTCCAGTGAGTGTAGTATGTATGCACCCTTTAGCAAAATTCTTTCACAAACAAGGAAAAAAAGATGGGGAGGGATTGTTCGAGGCTAAGATCTACTGAAACCTCTAGCCTGGTGCTCTTGAGCTAAACAAGAGCAGAATTCTCTGAGCCGTGGATGCTGGCCTTAAGGCTCAGTTCCAGGCCCAGATGCCTGCTGGGGAGCTATCTTGTGCATTGTAGGAGGTTTAACAGCAAGCCTGTCCTCTCCTCACGAGATGCCAATGGCATCTCCCACCCATGGCTGCAATCCTGCCATCCAAAAATGTCTCCAGACATTGCCACATGTTCCCTGCAGAAAGAGGACAGACAGCAGAATCACCTCCAGGTGAGAGGCACTGCCTTAGTATGAAACTCTTTAGGGACAAGATTCTGAGCATCCTGATTTAACACATTAGGAGAGGTTTCTGTCTTTGCATTGAGTCTCTGTGGCTTGAGACAGAGGATTACATTAAAATCTTGGAGAGTCGCGGAATTCAGCCATCACAGCTGTCATTACTTACACTCTCACAATGCCTGTGCTCAGTCTGAGGCTCTTCCTCGCCAACACAATACTCTAGGGCATCAAAACAAATCAGATGACGCTGCCCCTGACTTTTAAAACTCTCCCCTATTTGTTAAGGGTCTACAGTATATGCACCACGTTTTTCGGGATGCTAGTTGAAAATGCATCTCTCTGGGGACCAGCAGTTAGCGTAATGGCTATGTCGCTGGATTCCCATGTAGTTGACCGCAGCTCGCGTCCCATACCCGATGGCTTAAAACACGTGTGTGTGCGTGCCCAAGATTCTGAGAGGAGAATGGAGGAGAAGGGATTGTGGCGTGGCCATTCCCCCCTGGGGGGATGATTTCTCGCTTTCTGTCTCTCTTTCAGTCTGGTGAGCACACGTATCCTATAGCAAAAACCTCTCCAAAAAAAAAAAAAAAAGAAAAGAAAGAAAAAAAAGAAAATGCATCTCTCTAGGTAGGGAGACTAAATTAATCTGATTATCTAGGAATAGGGCACAGTGTTCTACATGATGCCCATGTGGTTTAAAAGGATGCTGTGTACTTCATTTTTTTTTTTTTTGGCACATTTGGGACTCTGTAAGGGGGGAGCTGTTAAGGTAGCAGGCTCACTTCTTCCTTATCCCAAGACTAAGTTTTTGACTGTTCCTTGTGACTAGGGGTAATATTGAGAAACTTAAATTGGGGGCCAGCAGATGGCATAATAGTAATGTCACTGGACTCCCACATGGTTTGACCATGGTTCAAGTCCTGGACCAGGTGGCTCAAAACTCATGCCAGGTGCATATGTGTGCATGCCCAAGATCCTGCAAAGAGAATGGAGGACAAGGGACTACAGTATGGCCATATTCTCTGGGGAGTGATTTCTCACTTTCCCTCTCACTGTATCTCTCTCTCTCTCTCTCATTCTCTCTCTCTCTGGTGCCTAAGGCAAAAACCTCTTAAAAAAAGAAACTTGAATTATAGATGATGCCACAATTGTCACTTTTGTCTTATTTGCCAGGCAGAGATTGTTTCTCCAGATGCAGCATTTATTTCCTGAATAATTTAAGAACAACACAAGAATTTTAGACACTATGGAATTGACAGAATTGGATGAGACACTTAAACTGGCAGGATATGAAATATATAACAGGACAGTTGGTTATAAGCCATCTAAGGTGTAATGCCATCTTGGCTCTGAACTAGGAAATGAGACAGTCATTGCAGATAACAGTAACAGGTATGCTCCCAATTAAAACATTTCTTGAGCCAAATTCCAATGTACAAAGAATGTTCATTCACGATTTGGAAAGATTCTGTATTTTATAACCTGCTATTTTAAATGTTAGTCTTTTCTGATGAATATGAATGCTATGAATCAAATTAAAACAATATAAGCAGAGACCAGTAGATGGGGTAGCGGTTACATCACTCGACTTCCATATGACTGACTGAGGTTAGAGTCCCAGACCTGGTACCTTCAAAATCACACTGGGCACATGTGAATACATGTCTAAGATCTTAGGAGGAGAATGGAGGGACTGCAGCATGTCCAGGGAGAGGGAGGTGGTGGGAGGTGGTGGCACTGTCTCTGTCTCTCTGGTGAGCACATGTGCCCTAAGGCAAAAACCTCCCAAGAAACAAAAAACACAGGAGAAGCAGAATTTCTGCCTGTCACTGGTTGGTGCTGAATTAAAATGAAAGCAAAGGAGAATGGAGGAAAAGGGACTGCAACATGCCAACCCCCCTGGGAGGGGGTGATGTCTCGCTTTCTGCCTGTCTTTCTCTGTCTCTCCAACTAGCACACATAATATACAGTTCACTTGAAGAAACAGGCAATAAGATGCATGTCAGAAAGATAGATGGCTACCCTTCACAGTGGCTAAATTCCCCACCCAAGAAGTCCACATGATAGCCCTTCAGGGATAAAATAATATAAATATGGATGGAGGAGGTAATGAGGGCTTTCGTATGTGTTCCACATGGAAAAAAATCACAGTTATCAGAGATTCTAAAAGAAGGCATTGATTTGTGGTTCAGCTGATTCTCATATCTCTCCATAAGGAGCTGGGAGAAGGTGGCTATCAGGAATGTCCACATTAACTTAAAAGTGGCATGGTGGTTAAGCTGCTGGACTCCCACATAGCCAACTGGTTTGAGTCCTGGGCCCAGTGGCTTGCAACTTACATTGGGTGTGTGCCCAAAATCCCAAAAGGAGATAGAGAAAAAGGGATTGTGGTGTGGCTATCTCCTCTGGGTTGGTGATTACTTCCCTTCTCTCTGTCTCTCTTCAGCATATGCTCTCTGGCAAAAAAAAGTGGTTAATTATAGTTCGTTGGCAATTTCTGAAAATTATAATTTTTTTGTTTGATTTTTGGTCTAGGTTGCATGCACTTGCCAGAGAGAGACAGAGAGCAGGAGAGAGGGAGAAGAGAAAGCACCCCATGGGGCGAATGGTCATGTTGCAATCCCTCTCCTTCCTTTGGAGATTTTGAGCATGCATGCACACATGCCCACTGTGTTTCTCAAGCTACTGGGTCCAAAACAAGGACCATGCAGTCAGCCCTATAGATCTTGTTGCTTTATCCACTAGGTCACAAAGCCAGCCCAAGTCTTACTTTTTTAGAGTCGGAACAAAGAGAAAGAAAATGACTTTAAAATATTTTTCTCAGGACCAGCATATGGCTTAATGGTTACGTCACTGGACTCCCAAGAAGTCTGGAAGCTTAAAACTCATACCGGGTGTATATGTGTGCATGTCCAAAATTCCAAGAGGAGAAGGGATTGTGGCATACCAACCCCCCTGGGGGATAATGTCTTGCTGTCTGTCTCTCCAACGAGTGTATGTGCCCCATAGCAAAAACTCTCTTTAAAAAATGTGTGTGTGTGTGTATGTGTGTATATATATATATTCTCTCTAGAAAACGATCCAACCCCTAGGATAATCTTTAGAGAAGGGCTATCTTTTCTGTTAATTTCTGTTCCATTTGTATACAATCCTTCCCAAAGTAATTTTTCTCTTATGAATAGCAGTGATTCTCAAGTTGAGTTCAGGATGGAAATAAAATACAGAAAAGCTTCCTTTTAATGCATTAACCAAACTGAAAAACTGGAGGGTAAAAGGGGTCATTATAAAAACTACAGTGGATAATAGGTATAGGCTGGGACTGTCCCTCAGGCTGACACATGTATGTTTAGTCCCTTAGAAACACGGTCCCAGCCCCATCAGGAATAAGATGCCTTGATCACAGCCTTACACCCTGCACACATAAAGACAAGCAGAATGGGCCATTGCAAGCACTGTTATCTGAGAATTAAGGGCCAGACAAAGTTGTTAAACATCAGGTCTAGCAAGTAGAATCTCTGGCATATCACTGTGGAATCAAACAAATTATTTGGGAAAAGCAGGGAAGTACCTGCTTTTACAGACTCCATCTGCCATAGATTTGGTACATTGTCAGATATGTGGCAGCTTAGACAAGATGAAGCAGTCCAAGCTGCTCTACTAGGGGAAGAAAGCCTCCACTACCTCATTTTTCTGATATTTGACCATTTCATTGTGGCAGACATTGTATCAAGCACATCCTAAGTATTACATCAGTTGGTCTTTATAATGAACCCAAGGAGGAAGTACTTTTTGATTTCTGAATAAACTAAGACATGGAGGAAGTTTAGGCAACTCGTGGAAGCTCTCAGACCTAGTGAAGGAGTGAAATGGGTTTTGAACTAAGGCTGAATCCAGAATGGACACTCCGAACTATATCATTACACTGATATAACCCTTTCACAAGGGTCATCTCTATGGGTGATTAAATTCAAAGATTGATTTCTTCACCTTTTTCCTAATCTACCAGGTTGCTAAGACAATGAGGAGGAAGGAGCTGAATGAAGGTGAACAGGATGACTTCACAGTAGAAATAAGATAAAGCCATGTTTTGGACCTAAGATTTAACACTGTTCTCTGAATGGAAGATTAGTCTTGAGAAGTTTGGGGTTGGTAAGGCCAGTCTCTCTCCACTGGTGGAGCAACAAGTGCCACATACAAAGGCTGAGAGGCCAAGTAGAACTGATTCCCAATGTGGGTTCAGCTGGGTCAGTCATGTCCTATGGTGGGCAGGGAGGACACTCTTCCCTAAGTTGCACCAAATGGTCCCTATCGGCTAGAAGAGACTCCATGACTGTGAAGCTCCACAGGGTTTCTCTAAACCAGAGTGAGAGAGGATCCCACTTCCTGTTTGAGGCAGGGATAGCTGGTGTTTTAATGAAAGTCACCTTCATGCTAAGTCTCACTATTGCTCACATTTCTGAAATATGGAGACTCCGTTCCCAAATGTCAGAAGCAGTCAAGGTAAGAAAGAAATCAGGCATTCAAAGAAAGTGAAAAAAATCTTTTTAGACAGTTTATAAATAAATAATGACCCTGAGCTCTGAAATCAGAGGTCATACCCAAATGTGTTTCTCAGCCCTCTGAGCTTAGGTGGGATCTGACAAATCAGGTTTAAAACTCCACTAGATAAATAAATAACGAGCAGCGGATGGCACTCGGAGTTTCAGTCCCACTTGCAAATCCTTTTCGTACAAATTGAATGAATAAGGAGCTTCGCATATTTTGGATTCTTATCTAGCAGTTTTCTAAACACATAGCAAGGATCTTATTGCCCGTGCAACACTGATGGCATGCAAACAGTGTGCCCACGGGTCTGCCTTGACATAGCAATAGTCCAAATGCATGGGAAAGTACATACTAGGAAGGGATTACACACGCGCCATCATTGTTGGCAAAAGTTTGTTTTGGAGGATAGCTTTAATTAGTATTTCCTGAACTTTAGGCATTTACTTCTCTTCACAATTATTGCCGTATCTATATATCACTTTTTATATCTGGGCACATGTTGTCATAAGATGAGAATAAAGTCATGCCACTGATTTCTGCATGGTCCAATTGGCTGCCAAAAGTGCTAAGCTTAAGGCCCGCTCTGTCTTTGTGAAAAAAGGAGGTAATTACATGTTACCAGGTATTAAGGCAAATAAGCACCAAAGAACTGTGATGCTTTTCTTGGGGGGTAGGGGGGGAAGGAGAAGTTAAAGAAAATTGAATAGAGAATGACTTTCTCATTAGGCAAGCTAGATGTTACTTAGAGGTGTACTTTTGTACTATGCCACTGGTATGAGTGATAAAGTTTCCCCCCAACGGGATAATAAAGTTCCTGGCCATAAAATGGAGTTTGTATGTACTCAACCAAATCAAGCAAGACACATTTCCATGTGTTCTGTTCCCTGCCTGGGGACAACTTGTTCTACGTGTGTGTCACATAGTTTGCAAACAAATCATTGACTTACCATGTTCGTCAAGTAAAATATTGTCAGGATTCATATCCCTGGGGGGGGGG